CTGTTTACTTACACCAGAAGTCACTTTGACTCTTTAACTTATCAGGATTGTTCACAGATGTGTTAAGTCTGTATTAAGTTCTTTTCTTGCCTTTTAGATCAAGGAATTTTTATTTATAATACCATATGTTCGTTTATGAAGGGAATCAAGATCATTCAAGTTATTTCCTTAGTTATCAATTTAGGCCGACAACAAGAAAACAAGAATTATTAGTCAACAGGGTTAATCATAGATAAAACTAATAGCAAAAGTAGTTAAAAATGGCATAGGATCTAATGAAAGATGAATAAACAACAGATCTACTTTATGTAAATACAAATAAAGGAGATGTGGGCAAGATTACAACCTTGGTTGGCAAGGTTTGTTTTCTTGCAGACACTTCTCCTTGTATTTTACAGAGATTGAAGTCTTGGAAAATGAAAATACAAACAATGTTTATATTTAAAGGGATTTGATATTACGACAAAGAGGATGGTAGCAGAGCTTCTAAAAAACTTACAAAATATAGCTTTATATGGTGGACCTGCAACTAAAAAGGGGTGAACAAACTAAGGTTGTCTAGCTTTTTGCTGTTGAGTACAGAGTTAAGTATGGCTTTTTTGATTGGTAGAGCGAAAGACTTATGCTCGTATCCTTTGCTGCTTTTATAGACTTCTTAGCCCGAGTGTCTAAGTCTTCCCTTTTGGTGATGGCATCCAGAGCACGGTGAGTCATCGTCTACTTTAGTAATTACCTACCCATGTTATGGAAAAATACTTTTTGCTGAGGATGAGTTGCCTTCTGTCACTTGTCACTTCTCACATATGTTTGTTGCCTATTAATTGCCAGAAAAGGGTTTTTAAATTCATCATGGGCTGCCACATTTCCCAGCCCAACCCCTTTCTGTTTTTCACATGCTTGGGCCTTCAATTGCATTGGGCCCATTGTTAAATATCCACTCAAACAAAAATTACTAAAATTTAATTGTTCAATGCACTAAATTGTATGAGTGTATGACACATATCGGTGTTTAAACAATTAAAATGACACTATCAAAACTTGGCCATGAAAATCCAATCATTCAATGCTTCCATATATGTGAGCACGAGATACATCGGTATTTAATATTATTATTTATATCATCTCTCTATTAGAGGTAGAGTCCATTAACACATGTGAGTCATATTTTTATTAAATAGATGATACAAATGATAAAACTAGTATATGGTAAGAGTAGAGGTTTTGAAATAAAACTATCGAAATCTACTCATGGTCATGGATGTATGATTTTCCGTGTCCAAAGAGAGACGTATTTTGAAACTTTCTTTTGTTGGCCACGCCTCTCCTAGAATATTCCTTTCTGTGATTAAAAAGTTAGTGGGGATCAGCACTGATATACAACTAACTTAAGTATATATTATCATTCAAAAGATCAATTAGCATTTATATTACGAAGTCGATCGAATGATTTAACAATTAAATCCACTGTACAGAAAGAATTATTACAATCGTTTGAATTCTACTAACTAGTATTTAGACGGTTTAATTGAAGCTACTCAAATTCAGTAGTTTCAATTAAATCGTGGATGGTGAATTCGATACTAAATTGAACTGTCTATTGTGTGGTTTAGTTGAACTTCTCATCTCTTTAATGTAAAAATATCGATATACTAAAAAAACAAAACAAAAAAACAAAAGTGTTAGGATATTTATTTGGGTCATAGGTTCACTTCCAAGGAAAAGCCCGAAAGGCCCGCAAGCCCAAAATAATAACATAAGGACCGGAACCGGGTGTGTGCAAAAGTAAAGTTTTACGCTGTGGGCAAGTGCAGCAGAGCTCAAGTGTCATAAACCAATCAAGATCATTCAGCTATTCTGTGTTCGACGACCGTGATTTACTCTCACGGATCCCTCAAGACGACGCCGTGGCTCTCACGGTCCGAACCCGAAGAAAACGGGAAAGAAAAGAAGAAAAGAACGCGGTAGATGCAGAGACTTTGAGCAAGCGGTCTCATTCAGCTCGCTCTCCATTTTTCAGAGATTCAACGACGTCATCTGACTATCTGCCTCCTCCTCAGGTACGAAGGAAATGACTTTCCATTCCCAATGGATTCTTCGTTGTTTTTTCTTACTGGGTTTTTTATTTCTGGCTTTCTTACTGAGTTTCTGGTAATGGGTATTTTGCATGTGTGAGCTTCAAGGGACACAAGGGTTCTTCTTTGTTGTTGGGTTGCTGGGTTTCAATCGGTGTTCTGGTTTGTATATTTAATATTTTGGATATTGGGTTTTGCTTTTTAGCTGGGTTACTGGGTATGTTGGTGGGTTTTTTCTTTTGAAACTCAAATCCCCTTTTTTGTATAAACGAAGATAATAAACCCAGTCGAGAGAAAAGATGTTGCTTGCTTCTGCTGTTTCCGTTTAATTCCAATAGCCCGAATTGAGAGAATAATTTTATTTTTCGTGGTAGCAATCGAAATCGAAATACAAGGTTTGATGATCTGACTGGTAGGTGGTGTTTCTCTTGTTCATTATAGACATTAGTTTAGTCGAATGATATTTAAGCTTCGAATGTTGTTTGTAAATTCAGTTGGTGAATGCTAAACATAATCAGTTTAAGTGGTTTGATGTGTGTGATTTATGACAGTTTAATTGTTAAGTCATTCTCACTATTTATCTGCTACATGGTAATTAGTCTGCTTGTTTTATGGAAGGATACATCGTCAGAAAGGGCAGGCCGGCAAGTGACCTCTTCGCATCGAGTTGGGAATCAACAATGGTGAGCTTAAGAAGACACACACACTATAGACTATGTGCTGGTAAATACTTGTTGAAATGTGATTATCCTAGATATGAGTCTATGACTAATTGGTTTTGATGTTCTTTTGGAGAAGAAACAATCTGATCCACTAGGTTTTTGTTTATTCTTAAGGATTTTTTTTCCACACAGATTGTTGGTCTTTTTGCAGGGAGAACTCCACTTCCTAAGTTCTCTGACATCAGAACTGCTTCTCAATATCCCAACCACGAAAAACCAAAAAGTTCGCATCCTACGTGTTCAAATAATGTAATTAATCGGCCAGAGGGGGTAAGAACGGATTACCAATCAGTCCATATTATTATATCACTTGCATCAGATGTAACACTGTTTTCTTTGAAGGTTTTATCATGTTTAACAACTGTTTAAGATACAATGCAATTTATTAGGAAAGTTTTGATGCGATTTATATTCTGTTGCATAAATTTCTCGTAAAACTCAAGTACATAAGATTCAATGCTTGATCAGCATGTCTTGATTTCTAAATTGATGTCTAATAACTAATAAGATGTGTGTATGTTCCAACTGTAATACTACCAGAATAGGACTGCTATAGGGGCTTCGGCTAAGAGTTTCACTGATGCAGTGCTGGCTTTGCCCGCTTTTGTAACTGTGGGAAATGAGGCAGGACGCTCTCGTATACACAAGCTGCATTTTCAGAAAAATGGGGATTCTCTTTGGGTTAACGGATCTCAAAGCAGCCAAGTTAGTTCCTTGGAGAACCAAGTAAATGATCCAGGGTTTGATGTATCTCTAAGCCAAGTTAAATCCATGGAGAGCCAAGTAAAAGACCCAGGGGATAAAGTTCTAAGCAGCCAAGTTGAATCCTTGCAGAGCCTAGTAAAATACCCGGAAGCTGACGTATCTCTAAGCAGCCAAAATGAATCCTTGCAGAGCCAAGTAAAAGACCCTGAAGCTGACGTATCTCCAAGCAGCCAGGTTAAATCCTCGGAGAACCAAGTAAACGACCCAGGGGGGTGATGTATCTCTAAGCAGCCAAGTTAATTCCTCGCTGGGCCAAGTAAAGTTCCCAGAGTCTTGCACCTTTCAGCTTGAGAACAAGATAGGCAGCTTGCAAGCCACGATGGATAAGCTAAAACAGGAGAAGCTGTGGGAGAAGGTAGAGCTCATGCGGGAAGTAGACTTGCTGATGGTGAACCTAACCAAATGCAGTTGAGGGAGCTTTTGCAGAAGGTTGAGAAGTTGCGGAGGATCTCAGCATGGCCGCTCGTGGTGCGGTTGTGGAGGATTCTGCAGCTCCAATGGCAGAAGAGTACGGAAAGAGTTAGGACTAAATTCTTTTTTCAAAGTCTTGCTCCTTTGAAACGCAAATGACATGAGATTAATACTACATATCAGTTAGATCATGCACGCAAGCACCGATATCAATATACTAAAAAAGGATAGGAATTGGGAAATGATAAACACACTTTTTCTTTTTTACACGTTTTTGTTTAATCATGTATGTTTTTAGTTATTTAATCATGTATGTTTTTAGTTATTTGATTTATTTAATCTAATGATTAAAAGTAAAGAAGAATGTGTGAGAGACCAACAAATGGTGTTCGAAAAATATTATCTTTTCTTTTCTTTTCTCATTGAACACATAAAAAGAGTTGTGCTATTTACACACCTAGTTTTACCTTTCATGCATCGTTCTCAATTTATGGCTGTCAAATTGAATGGATTGAAAAATATCAATGGAAAAAAAATCAACAAGGGTATATAAAAGGTAAAAAGAGGTACGTGAATAGCATTATCTTTTGAAAAACTTAGAAACAAATTGAGGACGAAAAATAGCTTGAGGGCCAAAGTGAAACCACCACTAAAATCCACGGACCAAATTTGTAATAAATTAAACTTTATTATTTATATTGGGTGTAGTATGTAGTAAGCAATTTTCCATAGAATAATACTTGGCTACTCAAATGATGAGTAAGAGTTCCTATTCAAAATTGTTTATTGTCGATTCATAGAACTTCGTATTTATGATCAGAACCGTTTATGTTATAAATTTTATAAAGATCGTTTCTGCAAAAAATTAATTAAAACTAAGGTCGTTTAAATGTATAAAAACAAATGAACGAAATTGATAAAAGCATTACAAACCATCTGTGTACTTGTTACAATAAAACAACTAAACAACTTTAGTTTTAATTTTTTTTGCAAAAATAATCTTTACAAAGAGATTAACGATTTTAATCGTAACCACAAATTGTCGAACACAAATAGTTCCATTCGTCTTCCCGAGGAAGACCCTCTCGACTGCTACTGAGCATCAACTCAGAAGGAATAACCATCCGTCTTCCCGAGCAAGACCCTCTCCTCACATTCCCCCTTCCTTAAATCCCCATCTCCTCCCGCTTTCAGGGATTCCTCCGACTCGCTCTGACAGTCTCACTCTACCTCCTGAGCTGCAAAAGGTACTAACTTTTTCTTCCCGATCGCTTGTTTCTTCCTTTTTTTTCTTAATGGGTGGTCCAAGAATCTCATTACTGGTTTGTTTTGTTTTCTGATCATTGACTTTCTGGGTTATGGCTTTTCAGGAATTCCACCTACTCACTCTGCCCTCTTGAGCTGCAAAGGTACTGACTTTCTCTTTCCATTTGCTTTTTCTTTTCATCTTTTTCTTTGGTGGGTCTTTCAATCCTGGATTGTGTACTGGGTTTCTGGCCATGGGCATTTTGCATTGATGAGATTCAAGTAAAAAAGGGTAATTATTTGTTGATGGCTTTGTGGGTTGTTCTTGATTTTTATGTTATGGCTTTGTCTTTGGAGTTCAATTTTACATTTTGGCTTATGGGTTTTGCTGCTTTTTGTATTTTACTAACAGCTCTAACTTTCCAGGTTCAGAAATTATGAATTTTTTTTAATTTAGATGCTTTTTGAAGCCGTGTGACGAAAACATTTACCAGTTACTTACAGCTTTACCAATTGAAATCGAGTTTCACTCTCTGATCATGCGACTATTGGGTGGTCTTTCATCTTGCTCATTGTAAATATTAGGTTTCATCGGCCATGCCTTTAACCGTCAGATTGTTGCTAATGAATTTATTGGTTGCCAGTTCCTTCAAGGCTCCTTCTCTTTTGTTACTTGAATTATGTTTTGCTCTTTTGGTGGGGTACCTTGTTCATACATGTATATCAGGCTTTAGTACATCAGTATCCGAAAACATGTTATAGTAGTTTCAATTGCTTTATCAATTCCACTTGAAATTCAAATGTACATTACATCACTTTGATTTATCTGTTTCTTTATCGAAGAAGTAGCTTGATACATGAGAACAGCCACCAAGAGATCAATGACATAAAATCAACCATGGTGAGCTTAAGAAAGCGCAAACGCATGAGACTGTTCTCCGGTAAGAATTAGCTGAAATGTGATTTTGTTTGATAGCCCTATATTGTTCTGCTGATGATTGTGTTTAGCGTGTTTATTCTTACGAGTTTTGACCTGTATAATATGATCACATGTCAATGCTTCCTGATCAGTTTTGGTGACTGAGAATTGTTCCAATAGGTTATCTTTCTGTATATATTATTTGGTCTAGGTGAATATTGTTCACCAAATTGCTGGTTGGTGCTTGCAGGGGAAAGTAATGCTTTAGTTCCACTTCCCAGTTTTTGGGACAAAGAAATTTCTCATCAAGATCCAAACCGCATGCCTTCAAATGATGTCATTCAGCCAGAGAGGGTAAGAATTGGTTAATATTTGATATGAAGGTTTTATTTACATGTTAAAAGACACTTGCCAGAAGTAGAGTGATATGTGTTATTTTGCTATAATTCCAGAAATAGTGTGGGTTATTTTGGTTCAGTTTCGGAAATAGTGTGTGTTATCTTACTGTAGTTCCAAAAATAGTGTGAGTTATTTTACTGTAGTTCCAGAAATAGTGTCAAAATTTTAAACTGTCATTGTTGCAGATGAAAGAAACCAAGAAACCGAGGATAAAGACTTTTGCTAAGAAAAGCCCAACAAAAAAGAAGAAGGATTATCTGCAATATAGATGCAACATGATGGGCTTTGCAGATGCCATGCAATTGTACAAGCCTACGATTCAACAACGTCAAGACATCTGCGACGAGTTAGCCAAGACACCGTTTTGGAGTCTACTAAAAGTGTACATGGATGACATATTGATCGCCACGGATAGAAAGAAGAAGTCCGGTATGGACTTAATAAAGATCATGCAATGCTACAACTCAAAGGAGCAAAAATTCAAGTTTGGAGATAATGAAGCAAAGGGAATAACAAACGATGATGTTGTTCAGATATTTGGTCTGAACAACAGAGGAGTGGAGCTTCCAAACACAGACAAGTCCACGAAACATGGAAAAGAGGACCCCTTCGTTGACAAATATTTTAAGCATGCAAAAGTTGTCAAAAGGAAGCAACTAATAGAAGCCTATGAAAAATCACTCCTGGACCAATCTCCTCAAGGTGCAAAAGATACTACTTCCATAATCTGTGCTCATCTCATCCAATCACTTCTTTTTGCTAATTCTGGCACGTATATTACCTGGAGTTTCTTAAAGATATGTGGGGAGTTGGATGAGATCAGTAAATATAACTGGGCGAAAGGAGTGAAAGATTACCTCCTCAAGATGATAAACAAAGCACAGAAGAAGAAAAAAGATAGAGGAGAAGAACCAACAATTAGCGGCTGCACCGTCTTTGTTTTGGTAAGAAATAAGAATAATAGTACGAAGAGCATGAATTGTTTTTTTATAAATTTCACAAAACTAACTTCAGTTTCCTGGTTCATACAGTATTGGATATGTCTTCATACAAATGTGGTTAAGACAGTCAAAGGACGAGAAAACATGATTCCGGCAATTGCAAGATGGGATACAAGTATGATACACAAAGCAATCAAAGATGTCCCAGTTGAACAAATCAAGGTAATGACCAATAATCAAGTTATTTCACTCTACATTTCAGTAAATAATGACTATTTGCAGTTTACAATTTCACAAATATTTCATGTTTACGCTTCTAGAAATAGTGCATTTCTATAGCTGTTTTCAATTTGCAATTCTATAAAAATAATGGTCTCTTTATTTAGAAACATAATTAACAACAAAATATTGTCAGTAAACACTTAAACAAAATAATAACGGTTTACAATTTCAGAAATAATGTCTTACTGCAAATTCGTAAATAATTCCAATTTGCAGTTCTAGAAGTAGTTTATGTTTATCAATCTTTGACTTTGTTTATCAACCAAAAATAATTACATTACTATGTAAGTTAACAAGTATATAATGTGATTGTGTGCAGATTGATGGTGTCATTCCTTGTGCTCAACCACAAGAAGAATCTTCGAAGAAAAAACAAGAAAAAACAAGAACAAAGAAAAGAAAGCAAAGTGATGTCATTCCTTATGCTCAACCTGAAGATGATAAATTGGATGATCATTCCCACCAAAAAGAGGAAGCAAACAAAGATGAGATGGCAGAGGTTGATAAAAATTTGAAGAAGAAAAAGAACAAACAGAAAAGGAAGCAAAATGATGAAGAACATGAAAGCATCAATATAAATGAAGCTCAAGCACAGTTCGATCAACTGTGCAAAGAGGAAATGAGCAAACTCGATGCCATTCATCAGAGATACATCGTTGGCATGGATAGAACTTTAAGTGTAGATCTTTTCAATGAGTTCAAGAGTGCTAGGAGCATTGATCAGAAAAGGTACCTAACCTTCAAGACGATGATGGCATACGCACTTGACTCTTCCAACAAAGAGTGCGTAGCACTCAGGGAATCAAATAAAATGCTAAACCATGAAATGAAAAAGATTCTACGACAAGAGGAGCTTGACAAGAAGAAAGTGAATGCACTAAATGCTGATTTATTATCATTGCAGACAAAGAACAGTGCAGCTTCTCTAAAAAATCAATGAACAGCTAAATGAGATTGGAGCTTTAAAGAAGAAGTTGGAAGAAAAGGAAGCAAAAATGCCAGGTTTGAATGCTTCTGTACACGAACTTCAGGAAGAGTGCAATCAAACCGCTAGTAATTCCAAAGTTCAATCTCCATTGGGTGATGAAATTATCAAAAAGGCCAACTTTCCAATTCCTCATAGCTTATCAGACGAAATCGCGGAGCTTGAGGCGTCTGAGGGAGCCGAATCAAGCGCCGACTCTAAGGAAATACCTAAAGCGATTTCTCCGGTCAACTCTAAAGCTGCTTCCGAGGATATGTCTGCCGAGGGCAAGGTTAAGGTTGTTGATATTACAAACGCCTCCGAAACTTAGACATGGTTTTTACTTTTCAGTGTTTTTAGACGATGTCTGCCAAAAGACGCTAGGCATTAGTCGGACGGCGGATTGAGGCCTAGCTCCTAAGCGAACTAGGAGGATTTAAGTAGATCTTTTATATTTCGTGTAAATAAGTGTCTATTTATACTTAAAATATATATAATTTCATTATAAACTACAACATAGAATGACATGTATATTATGAAGTATTGGAATATAAGGAAAAACATGGGAAACAAGTATATAATGTGTATTCATTTAAGTATTCAATAAGTTTCTTACAATTTATTAAAAAAATAAAATACAAAATGAAAGTTATCTATTTACTATCTAAGTGAGTTGCAACCTAGGTGGATGCCTAAGCAGGTCTGAGCGGGTGCCTAGGTGGTCTAGGAGGGCGTCTCAGCAGGTCTAGGCGTCATTTTCTTAATTTTCAAACGCCAAGTTATTAATCGGGGCGGTGGCTAACCGTCTAGCGTCTAGGCTGAACCAAGCGGGGATTTTTAGAACAATGTCCAAAATTGAACAACTTGCTATATGCCTCAGTCATGAAACTTTGGCTGTTTTGAACTTATGCTATATGCTATTGGCTTTGTAAAGAGAAACGAAAAGCAATTCCCATGAATTCAGAAAGAAGTTTCAGATGCAGGTAACTGAACGTGACTATACTTGACTTACCTTTTACACTCAATTTATTGTTAATTAAACTATTAATATCTCTTTAAACTTAAATTTACTATCTTAACTACCCTGACAAACCCTGTTCAATACGTTAATTTATTTGTACACCCATTTAAAATAAAAAACCCAAACAGAGCATTTTATTTGTAATTAATGATAAGGTAAATTACATAGTAGCCTCTCATGTTTGAGATCTATTAGACTATTACAATATCATACAACATCTTTAAAACATTTCACTTTCATACCTCACGTACTATTTTATTTCAAAATAATACATCCGTTACATTTTTCATCCATTGATCCATTAAGTGATGACGTGGCTGCCACATTGGCAAAAAAATAATTTTTAATTTTTTTATTTAAAAAAAAAACCTAAATCTTCAACAAAAAAACTTAGAAAACCCAGATCCCATCACCCCACCCCACTTCTGCCCCCACCCCCGGCCGCCGAAACCCCATCCATTTCATCATCTTCCCCATCGGTCGTCCCTCCCTACAACCCAAATCCAAAACCACTCCCACCCATCCTCCTCCGCACCCATCTTCCACCTCCTCCGCTCACCCATCTTCCCATCTCCCCCCCCCCCCACCCACCCGAGCCCAACCTGCAACCCAAAAAAAAAAAAAAAACTCATCTTCATCTTCCCAGACCCCCCTTCCCTGCAACCCACCCCTTTCTTCCCCCTCCCATCTTCCCCAAACACACTGTGCACCCATCCTCCACCTCCTCCTCCGCACCCACTACCTGCAACCTAGAAAAGAAAAAAAAAAAACCCATCTCCCTTTCCCTACAACCCAGATCCCGTCTTCCCCAATGGGTGTGGATTTAAGGAGTGGGGTGTATAGAGAAGGGAAGATGGGTGGGTGCGGAGGGTAGGTGCAAGGGTAGGTGCGGAGGAGGACGTGGAGGATGGGTGCGGTGGGTTTGGGGAAGACGGGAGGGGGAAGAAAGGGGTGGATTGCAAGGAAGGGGGGTCGGGGAAGATGAAGATGGGTTTTTTTTTTTTCTTCTTCTTCTTCTGGGTTGCAGGTTGGGTGGGGGAGGGGAGGAGGGAAGATGAAGTGGGGGTTGTGGGGAGGTGTGTTTCAGCTTTTGTTTTTGGTTTTTTTTTATATATTTATTTAGAAGATTCAGGTTTTTTTTTTAATTAAAAATTATTTTTTTTGCCACGTAGCACAAATGTGGCAGCCACGTCAACGCTTAACGAATCAATTGATGGAAAATGTAACGGAGGTGTTATTTTGAAATAAAATAGTACGTGAGGATGAAAGTGAAATGTTTTAAAGATGTTGTATGGGGTTGTAATAAACTTCAAACCTAAGGGGCTTCTATGTAATTTACCCTTAATGATACTACTTCATATTAATGGAATGCATAATATTTGTTGCAGGTAATCATGTATATGATTGCATATCGCCTCATAGAAATATGTAAATCAGATTAATTATTGTGATGAGTTGTTAATTATCCTTAATTTAAAAAGGAAAAATTAGTATCATGTCCCTAGTTCTTACTGTTCATTGACTAAGACCTTATTAGTTCTTAAATTTTGATTTAAGTCCCTATCATTAATGTGATAATGAATTTAAATGTTTATTATATAATTTTTAATATAAAAATTAGTAATTAATTTAGGGTTTAATACTCACACCTCTATTAAACTTCTAATTAATTTTCAATTCAAACATTTCCAAAATAATAAAAAATTAAATTAAATTAAGTTTGTACCTATTAGTTTTTTTATATATAAAAAGATTCTCAATTTTTTAATCTTAAATGTACCCATTCATATAAATTTTCAATTTTTTTAATCTTAAATGTACCCATTCTCAAATATATCAATTTGTTATATGTAAAATGTACCATTTTTTAATATAAAATCCATTCAAATTTTTTAATCCATGTTTAAACTTATATGGGTACATTCTTTTTCGTTAATTTGATAATGTATTCATGTTTTGGTACAATAACTTTTTTTGTTAATTTTGGTTAATGTACCCATACATATATGTATATACACACACACACAATATAATAGAGAGTATAATTTATATTTTATTATTTTTAATCCCATAAATTATGGGTTTTATTTAAAATCTCATTAATATAAACAATTACAAATTTCAATTTTTAATTTAAAAATATAGTAACTTACATTATTACATTAATGTTAAGGATCTCAACAAAAAACTAAAAACTAACAAGGTTTCAATCAAAGAATATTGATAGTTAGGGACCGCATCCAAAGTGTCCCATTTAAAAAACCTATTGAAACACATAGCAGATGCCGAATAGTATGCAGATGTTAGCTGGAGAGCTGGAGATGATAAACATATAGAAGTGAAGGAAAGAACACTACACAACATAAAAATAATCGAGAAGTGAATAGGGAAGAGTAGAAATCACCGAATAACACACAAGAAGCTTTGATCTGCGGTGAGAAAACTTATTGTTCATTTGTAATGGATGCTGTTATTTTTGGTGTAAGAGAAAGAATCATAAACATAAGTATAAAAACCATATTGCTCATCAATTTTTTAATAACATGATTTGTAATTTTGTACTGGTGCTATCATTTTTTTTAGGGTTTGATTATTTGGGGTAGGTTTATTGATAAATCTTATTTTTATTGTTAATTTTGTCTTCTACTAAATGGTGATTTTGCAATAGCGTAATAAAGACATTTCATATCTAGAGTTTAAATTAGATGTAGAAAAATGTTATATGAGTTCAAACAAAATTTTCCTGGTCATTTTTAATCATCAAGAATTTATGTGGTCAAATAAATTAACAGATTTTGTTTTATTTTCTACTTTTATGGCCATGGAGGGCAAAGCCCAATGTTTATGCCTAAGAAAGTAAACTAGCAATGTCAACTCATTCAATTGAGGGAGAAATCAAAGTTATTAAGGGCATCTCCAGTGAAAACACTTAAATTTGAGAGGTAAAGCAACATTTACACCTCACTTTATATTTTCGAAAGATGTATATTTCAATTATACTCTAATGAGAAAGATGCAAATTTAAGATTTCATTTATTTTTCTCTTTAACTGGCAAGATCTCCAAAGTATGTAAATTTGCATTTTTATTTACTTTTTGGACAACAAAAAATAGATTGGAGATGCTGTAAATAAAGAATATACTTCCAATCCTAAAAACATAAACGGAATCCCAAACCGATCTCTTTCGTGATGAGATTTCGAAAACCAAAACCAAATAGAAAAATTCAATAATTCCAAAGAAAGAACTCAGTTTTTCGGTACAGTTTGGGACTATGCCTTCAGTTCCTCACTCTATCTCTCGATCGAATTCAGCTAACAATTACCACCCACCCAATTTTTTTTTTTTTTGGACAAGAATGAAGCTTCATTAATGAAAGAGAAATACAATTTGTATTAAGAAAGGCCTAAACCTAAACAAAACACAAAGTCCTACACAACAAAGCAAACATAAAAAAGAAACCAAGCCCAAAAAAAAAAGAGCTACAACCTCAGCCACAAAGGGAGACCCACACAAATTTAGGCCCGTAGACTACAAAAGAAGCAGTGAACAATAAAACCCTAATCTCCAAGCGCCAAAACTCAGCCACAACCGCTACTACCTCCGCGAAGGAAGATATCACACCAAACTAAAAAATGCACCCTAACCAAAAACTAGATCTGACAGTATTAAGCACAGTCAATCCACCAAGAGCTTAAGCCTCCATAGCCACACTTGCAAGAAAAGTCACCAAAAGTAATAGGAGGAGGGGGAGGGCGAAGGGGGTGTGTAAAACACCCTTGTTCCGACTTGAATCATTTCACACTTCTCCCAATTTTTCCGGTAAGCTGGATTGACAGTAAGTTATGAAGGTTGGGCCTTGAGTCAAGATAAAACCCAACACTCTGAGATCTAATTCCTGGTTAAGAGTTGGAAAGGATGAAGGGCAGGAAGAGGGAGGTAGGAGAAAAGGGTGTGATGGGGAGGGAGGAGATAGATGGTGGTGAGCAGCAGTTGGTTGAAGAGCGGGTACAAAACTGAGATAAGAGCTCAGATAGATGAGACAAAGCTCATAAAAAAACATGGAAACAGAGAAGAAAAGGAAGAGAAGAAGGAAAAGCAGAATAAAGGAAGAGAGAAATGAGGACTGCCACTGACCCAAAAACCAAAGGCTAGGGCCGGCGGCTTAGAAGGGGATTCTTTTGGAGCTTTTTCAAAGAATGGGTTTTTCCCGCGACCAAACTTCCCGTTTTACCACCCATCCATTGCTTGCTAAATTTTGAAACCAATCCATTACTTCTTGCTGAATTCGAAACCGACCTATTTAGCTTAACAACATTTCAATTTTCAAACCATTCAATTGCAAGCACCAATTCACACAATAAACAAGCAAAAAACCTAAAATTTGCATCCCAAGAAGGTCTCTCTCTTTTGTAATTCCAATCCATTACTTCTTGCTGAATTCGAAACCGACCTATTTAGTTTCACAACATTTCAATTTTCAAACCATTCAATT